TTGGTGGTCGAGGATTAGAAATATGATGCTGTTGTGGGAGACATTTCTATCATTGGGAGTCGATCGAACCATGTCGACTTTACGCCACCATATACAGAGTCTGGGTTGACTATGGTAGTTCCAATGAAAACGGAAAGAAGTTGCAAAGCACAGGCTTTCTTGAAGCCAATAACATTGAAGCTCTGGTTAATCACAACAGGTTTTTCCTTCTTCATGGCATTTGTGATCTGGTTTTTGGAGCATCGAAGAAATGACGATTTTCGAGGGCCACCGTTGGAACAACTGGGCAGGGCACTTTATTTCTCCTTTTCAATGCTCGTATACTCTCACCGTGAGTGCACCTCATTAGAAATCATTCTTCCCAATTCTTATTTACTGCATAGAACTAGATAATATGCCTTTCATTCTCTTTTTGCTTCGTTTCTTAAGTGAATTTTCGACTTTAACATGAAAATTCCTGCAACTCTATCTTTTAGCTCTCACTAGAACTCTATCTTTTTAGCTTCTCTCTTCTTTTCATTTTTAATTTTTAGGAAAATTCATAGAAACAGACCTAAAAGTAAAGCCTTTTATCATTTTACTGTAGGTGTTATTTGATGGGTTATTTTGGAATTTGATCATAAATATTATGAGCTACTTGAAATTAATAAAAGAATGGGGTAAGATGTTGAATAGTTCAAGCCATAGGCGTAGTATAATAAAGTTCACTAATGTTTACGAACAAAAAAAAAATTCTTGGTCTTTTCTTAAAGGGTAAGGGTGTTGTTTCCATAAGGTTGCAACCTTAAATAATCCAGTTAAGGTGCACCACCAAATTTTATCATGATATGTAATTTTGGTATAAAATATTCTTAGGATTATTTGAAAATCTATTTTCATATAATTATAACATTTTAAATTCTAAAAATGGTTAAAATCAAGTAGATCTATAAACATATGAAAATCTTGAAAATGGACGATCTAAATAGTGTGTTGCAAGATGCATTGCTTCTGGAACTCAAAATATTATTATTATTATTTTATATTCATACATCTCGATGTTGAGATAATCAATGAGAGGGTTTTTCAACATTAAAACAACATTTTTCGATGTTTTTGAGGTGAATCTTTAATTCTAAGGTTGCGACCTTATATAAAGTTTTTGCGGCATATATTATGAGAGGCGGTCACAATGTTGCAAAGAGAGAGTTGCCAAATTTGGAGTTTTTGCTCTGTTTTTAAGCTAATTTTTTCCAGTTTTTTATTTAATTTGTGAGAGGCGTATTTCGGTCTTAAGGCTTGAAATAACATGTGGTGTTCGTTGGGAAAAATAAAATAAAATGGTGAGACAATTTTATTTGATATTTGAGAAAAATTGATCTATTTTGAAAGGCCGCATTAAGGATGTAAATTTCGCTTCATTTTAACCGAAATTTCCATGGATTATTCTAAGTGCTAGCTTTGCCCTTTTGGTCTATTTTCCTTGTACGATGGATAAGAAAATTGACTCGGCCAAGGTACACGGTTATTTGCCAAGCCTGGTAACTTGCCTTAAGTCGAGCCATAATTTGAAAAAAAAGAAGAGCAAGTTGGTATAAGGATACATCCGTAGCTGTAGAGGTATGGTGCGCTTTCAAATTTTATCATGGTATATAATTTTGATGTAAAATGTTATTAAGATTATCTCAAAATTTATTTGTATATTTAATTATAAAAATTTAAATTTAAAAAATGATTAAAATCAAGTAGATTTATAAAGATATGAAAATCTTGAAAATGGACGGTGTAGATAATATATTGTAAAATGTATTATTTTTAAGATTTAAAATCTCAATGTTGAGATGATGAATCAAATGATATTTTGACATTAAAGCAATGGATTTTTGAGGTGCATCCGTAGCCCTAGGTTGCAACCTTATATAAACTTTTTCCATTGCGCACTGATTTGTCCAAACTTACGAGGACTCCCTCTCTCTCTCTCTTCTCGACCTCTGACCTCCACTGGGCCTCTGCAGCGGCCAACTTCCTCAACCACTCCACCTCCCTTTCACTCTCTCTCTTCTTCTTCCCCTTTGTTGACTCGTCATCTCACTTCCTATCCCCTCCTTCGCCTCGACTATTGCCTTCAACTCCTCCCAAAGGGGCTCGGCTCCATTAGAAAAATCATCACTCTATTGCACCACAAGATTTAGAGAGAGAAATACCTTGTAGAGAGAAAGCAAGCCTTCCCATCTTGACTTGCACTGGTGGTGTGCTCTGTTGTGGCCTCTCTCTCTCTCATCTGAGCGGATGCCATGCCCCATAGGGCCTTGTTCGGCTTCGTCGAATTGGAGAGAAAGAATTGAGAGCAAGTTCTTCGTTTCTTGGAGAAACCATGGCGGTTCAGCTGAGCTAGACGGCGCGCGTGGATGGTGATGGTCGTCCATGGCTACTTCCTGAGTTGATGATTAGGTCCGCCTTTTTTGGTTTCTCTCTCTAAACGTTTAGAGAGAGAGAGAGAGAGAGAGAGATTGTTCGTGTGATTTGAATGTGGGGGTACAGTGTGTGAACACAGAGGAGAGGAGGGAGAGATTGTCAATGGAAGAAGGGTGATTGTCGAGTGCCTCCACTGCATATCTCTATCTGTCTACGCGAAGAGAGACTTTCGACTCTCTCTATTTATGTTTAGAGAAAGAGAGAGATTCTTTTCTCGAAAGAGTAGAGAGATTTTTGTATTTTCAAAGACCGAGAGAGACTCTACTCTCTAGAGAGAAGGAAAAAGGAGTTTATGTGTCTCTGTGCGCGTTGGAGAGGATAAAGAGAGATTCCATTTGATTTAGAGAGAAAGAAAGAGACGAATTTTTGGGGAGGTGCTATGGATGAGGTGCTACTTCAAAGAGGGATATGGTTTTGGGGATAGTTCTGGTATTTCGAACATGGACAATAAAGAACTAGAAAAGAATAGCCTTTTCTGGAGTTTGCATTGCAGGAGAGGGCAATTTAGAAAACAAAAAATTCGGGCAAGTGAATGGCCATTTGGTAATTGAATCTCAAAAGTGTCCGTACATAATTTGCTCAAAAATATGAAAAATTGCAAATATATATATATATATATATATATATATATAATATAGCCTTTTCCTTTGATTGCAGCAAACATCAAATAGAGACACATTATTTTATATAACCTATAAAAATGGGCGTACAACAAAACTCTCAGAACACATGGAATCCATATCATATGCTCTTTATCTGATTTGTAGTATATATTATACAGGTGATAGGATAACAAGCAACTTGACACGATTAGTGATCATCCTATGGCTATTTGCCGTGCTTATATTAAGCAGCAGTTACACAGCGAACTTGGCCTCCATTCTCACAGTCGAACAATTGCAACCTACTGTAACTAACCTTCAAAGTGTTATAAATAATGGGGACTATGTAGGACACTACAATGGCTCTTATGTGAAGGGCTTGTTGAAGAAGTGGGGCGTCCCAGAATGGAAGCTGAGGCCTTATGACACTGTCGAAGAATATGCCAACGCCTTGTTAAATGGAACCTCACGTGGTGGGGTGGCGGCAATTGTCGACGAGATCCCGAACATCAAAGTTTTTCTCGCTAACCACCATGACAAGTTCACCACCGTAGGGCCAACTAACAGGACTGGAGGCTATGGCTTTGTAATTTCTCTCTATCTCTCTTTCTCCCTCTCTCTCTGTGTCTCATTTACCTTGCATTTCTCTGAAAACAACTAGACTGCCGTTAATCTTGATTCCTTGAACACGCTCTTTTCTTAAGAGATTGGTCCATTTACCCGAAATTTGAGCCAAGTTCCAATGCTTGTGAGAATATTTACATATAGAAATGTTTTTGTTGAGTCCACTGATTCATGCATCCACCCATCAAAACATATTCTAAACGTCTCCTAATCTGTTTTCACCTCAAGTCCATGAATTTGGAGATACAAAAATAGTAAAGGTCTAATGATCTCAGTAAAACTTAAATGAAGGTCCAAACAAAAAGGGTACAAGCTGGAGCTTCTTAAGGCTCAATATTCCATACTTTTTCAGATAATTGATCACGGTGGTTGATATGATAGATTTGTGAAGTTTCGAATTGTCTTTCCATTTCCAAGATGGACATGGAAGTAGAGTCATTAACGGGCCTGGGTCAGCCTGCTGGCTCTCAGGCTAGGCCCAAGTTGGGGCAGGGTTTATGCCTCAGGCCTGATGCTGGCCCATAGTCCTGAATATATTCCGGCCAAGTCTGGGTCTGGGCTAGCACTAGCCCAACTTAGGCCCCGACTGAAAATCTTTTCAAGTATACACTACATATATCAATTTTTCATATTTATATAGGGCCACCCTGATTTTTATTTTATTTTTTTTTAAAATATAAGCAAATAAGGTTCTTCGTCTTTGAACAGGTGCTCCCCAAAAACTCCCCATTTCTATCTGACATTTCCAGGGCAGTTCTGAACATAACTGAGGGAGACAAGATGGTGGCCATTGAGAACAAGTGGTTTGGGAAGAAAACAACACAATCAAGCTCATCTCCTACTGATGCCTCTGAAGCACTAAGCCTTGACTGCTTTAGGGGTCTCTTCTGCATTGTGGGGGCAACATCCATTGGAGCCTTGATAATATTTGCCATTAGGCTTTGGAATGAGAATCAAAATAGGGCTTTAAATGAATTCCCACTAGCTGACCCAAGTCTACTGCAAAAGATTGTTGCCCTAACAAAACTCTTTGATGAGAAGGACCCTTCACCTCATAACCTCAAGACAAGAGAGATTGGTGTGAGAGAAATTGAGCTCAATAGAGATGGAGTCTTGAGCACTAGAGAGGACCCTTCAGGACTTGGTGCATTAGGGGATGTTCTCTCCAATGAGGGCACCACTCTGTCTCCTAGCACCACAGCCTCAGCTGGTGATGCTCCTATGGCTTCACCTCTCTCTCCTTTGGAAGATGGTGATGCATTTCTTCCCCTAGGGGATCACACTCAAGAACCATAATGTAGATGTAATATGTATTTTACACTTGGCATTCATGTTTGGCTTATATCTCTCAAGCTGGACTAAGGGTAGGTTATTCCATTCCAAACCATGGTTGGAGGGCATTACATTGACAAGTTTATTTGTAAAAATCAGAAATATAAAACTTATAGTTAGTGGCTTATGTGTGCACCACCACTCTTTCCTTTGTTTGAATGATGATGATTCTCCTCTTGCCAATGGTGATCATTGTCAAAAACCATATTGTTTATGTAATATGTTTTATATGCTTGCTATAGCTACTTTCATGATTGGCCTATGTGAATTAAGCAAATATTAAGGGTGCTCCTTGATTCCATGCCAACCCATGGTTTGGGGGCATTTTTAAATTAATTTGTTTATTACAATTGAAATATTTTTTGTTTTGAAGCCCATGTTAAAGGGAAGTCCACTGGTAAATAAATAACCCATCAATGAGATAGAGAGAGAGAGAGAGAGAATTTGCCCTGTTTGGTTCTAGGACATATTTTTGTTTCATCTCCTAAACTCACTCATTTGTTGACCGTGGTTGGCGAAGGCTGAATAAATCCATCTATTCAACACTGAAAAGCCAAAACCCCTTGAACGTTGCAGTTTCTAGGTTCAAAATCTTATCTTATGGCTTACTTGTCTGAGCGTAGTGGCACCAAATCGCAAATATGGTTTGCCTCTACTCACAATGTCCTCCTTCTTAGTGGTACACTACCATTCGAGTCTAAATTTCCAACGCTAATTTTGTACTCGTCTGGGCCAAGGAATTTGGCCTTTGGCCGAGGCGAGTTATTTGGGCGAGCCTTGCTCTCTAACTTCTAACTTTTAAGTAGAGAACAAACAAAAATAGTGGGGTAAGGGTGTCCATTTTTTGTCAAGGGACCTTCCTTAATTGTGAAGCAACCCACACTCCATGAAACTTTTCTAAACGCCAAAGATACATTAAATCTATAAGCGAAACTATTTTTGCTTTTTTGACAGTATTGAAACCACATTCCTCCATACTATTTGAAGGTGTGCTTTATTTTGATTGTTTAGAGCCTCAGCTCCATACAAACCGTACCCTAAATTTAGAGGGTATAGTTCCGCACCCTAAATTTAGAGGGTATAGTTTCGATAAGGTTTCAACCTTCAATAATCCAATTAAGGTGCAGCTCCAAAATTTATCATAACATGTAATTTTGGTGTGAAAAATTGTTAGGATTATTTGAAACTCTATTTTTATATCTAATTATAAAATTTTGAACTCCAAAAATAGTTAAAATCAAATAGATCTATAAACATATGAAAATCTAGAAAATAGACGGTCTAGATAATGTGTTGCAAGATGCACTTTTTGGGACTCTAAATCTTCTTTTTTTCTTTTTTTTTTTGCATATTCATACATCTATCTTGAAGTCGAGATGATCAATTAGAGGGTTTTTCAACATTAAAACAACCTTTTCTGATGAATTTTTGAGGTGCATCTTTATTTCTATATTTTAAAGTTGCAACCTTATATAAACGTTTTTCCAAATTTTGAAGTGTAGATGTTAATTTTAAATACTTTGGTATTGATTGAAAAAGCAGACTGTTCACTGTTAGGCCGTTATTTTATTAGGTTGATAGAAACGGCATATGAAGGCCTTCTCTTCTTCTTGAGGTTGATACGTAGGTTATTAGGACAACAAACTGAAGTTGGGGTCATGATATTACTTATAGATGTAGGGTTGTTGATTGGGTTGAGTCGATGTGTAGACCACAACCCGTGTTTCTGTTTGGGTTCAGCTTTTGGACCTGCGGATCTGGCAGGTCAGGTATGGTCTAGCCTAGACCCAGTCGGGTAGGTTTTGATCTGTGTTGGGCTGACCCCAGACATTCGATTTTATGGACAATAAATATGTTTTATATTGTAAATTATAAGAAAATTTATCAAATTATCATTGAGAAACTAGCAATTAACATATTATCCATATCTTTTGATTTAATTTCATAATGCCTATAAAAAACAAGGATCTTGACTTAGAATAGCCACAAATGGATGGAACCTCAAATAGTTAATCTCCTATAGGTATTTTAATAATATCCATAATTTATATAAGGAAAAAGTTTATATAAGGTTGCAACCTTAAAATATAGAATTACATATACACCTCAAAACTCCATCAAAGAAGGTTGTTTTAATGTTGAAAAATTCTCTTGTTGATCATCTCGACAATGAGAAGTATTAATATATATAAAAAAAGATTTTACGTCCTAGAAATAGTGTATCTTGCAATACATTATTTAGACCGTCCATTTTCAAGTTTTTCATATATCTATAGTTCTACTTGATTTTAACCATTTTTGGAATTTAAAATTTTACAGTTAGATATGAAAGTAGATTTCGAGATAATTTACACCAAAATTACATGTTATGATAAATTTTGGAGCTACTTTAGATGTATAATGGGTGCGCTACTTTAGAAACCACACCCAATGTAGTTTCTATGAGGTTGCAATCTTAAACAATCCAATTAAGGCGCAACTTAAAATTTTATCATAACATGTAATTTTATTATAAAATATGTTAGTATTATCTTAAAATCTATTTCATACCTAATTAGAAAATTTTAAAATCTAAAACAATATTTTCAAATTAGGTATGAAATTAAGTATTATCTTAAAATCAACATTAAAACAATATTTTCAATAGATTTTTTAGGTGCATATGTGATTCTACATTTTAATCGTTGCAACCTTATTAAAACTTTTCCCTTATATAATATTTTCATATTGCCTTTTTTTTACTTTTATATTTTAACCCTAAGAGATCTGCTCGAGTCTGTGTGGGGCCCACGAGAGAAGAATACCAAGAGACGCGTTAAATGACTGGAAAGTCATGCCCCACGTCATGTTGTATTCCTTGACGCGTTGAATAATTGGCAGGGAAACAAATAGCAATTTTATTGTACGCATGGTCTGCAAAGCAAAGTTGCCAGGTAATGCATGGTCTGCAAAGCTAAGTTGCCGGGTACGCGTTGATATATATATATATATATATATATAGGAGGAAGAGGCCGGCGCTTCAACACAATCTACTCGAATCTGATTGAAGCAACCTGAATCTGATTGAAGTGGCAGCATTAGGGCTTTGCTTTACTTCAATCTAATATAAATTCGAAAGCTTTGGCCAAAGCAAAGCGAATTTGGTAACATTGCTACAAAGCGACTGTTTATCTTTTGTACAAGAATGTCATAACTATTTCTACTAATTAAAGGTCAAATTGGATGATTTAGGGTGAGTCACGGTATTCAATATATATATATATATATATATATATAACTTTGTATATATTCAATGGTACTCTTAGAACCACTCATTTTAAATGTTATGGGATAAGAGTGATTGTGATCCTCTTGTACAAAAGATACAGAGTCTCTTTCTAGACAATCTTTTACTATACGGTTAACATTTTCTTGGTTTTTAAGCCCAGGTTTTAATTTTAGGTGTGGTTTTTATTTGTAATTTTAGCCCCACTCTGATGTGAGCAACATTGAATTATTTTAAAATTTTATTATTATTTTGTGACATTTAGGGCAGTACGTTATCTCAAAAATCAAAATGCCCAATATCTGGTCTTAGTCCAAATATGGAGATATTAGATATGGGAAATGCTAGTGTAGGCCAGTAGGCCTACAACTAAATATGGGACCAACAACCTAAATTGAATTTGGGCCGAGTCAATGATCACTATTGCATTTCATATTTGAATTTGAATTTTTTTTTTTTATAAATCTAAATCACTTGAAGTATTGAACATGTGTTCTTTAAAAATAGAAGAGTCCAGTAAAAATATCAAAAAAATGTTTCATGAGAAATAAATTGATCAAAATACCTCCAAAATTTTTTCAAGGGTATTTTAGTTAATTTATATCTTGTGAATTATTTTTAAAATATTTTATTAGATGCACATGATGAGAAGAATAAATATCTAAAATTTCATTTGATTTGGGTTTGTAAAAAAAAAAATTAAAATCTAAATATAAAATGAAATCATGTTCGTCAGATCGGTCCAGTTAGGTCCATACGTAGCTATTTAACAATTCCCATTACATATTGCCTCTCGTTAGAATTTCTTTTAAGAATAATAGGGTAGGGGCCCATACTCACGATAGGAAAAACATTTTGCCTCTTGTGTTAGAATTTATTTTAAGCATGAAATGGTATGGATCGATGTTCACGGTAAGAAAAGCTTTCAAGACATCACCCGACCAACTAACCTTTACCCCGATTCTAGGGCTGGGGCTAGGACCGTTTGATATCACCAAAATCAAATCGCCTCGTACTTGGACTAGATTGATACATAAATTCCATGTTACTTATGCCTACCTTCCTGGGGCGCTCTGACTTTTAGCGTATTTGTACTGCACTACAGGTCAAAAAATAAAAAATAAAAAATAAAAAATAAAAAATAAAAAATAAAAAATTGAAAAGGAAATGATTTGATGGTGCTAATCGCAAAATCGGGTCAAATTATATAAGGGTGTGAAATTATAAAGAATATAGACCGTGATTCCACATTTATTTTCCCCACATATCGCATTGTGTAATGTTTTCCAAAGGCTTTGGCATTTGAGGTTGCTCCTCTGAGACCTTTCCATTAAGAATTCTCTCTCTAACATAATATTGCCTGTCTCTCTCTCTCTCTCTCTCAGATAATATTGCCCCATGATATGGCGGGTGGTTTGCTTTTGAGAGTGTTTATTTTATCTCTGGAACTGTTGACTGGATTGAAAAGAGCAGATTGTTATTCTGATGTTAATGTTGGGTTGGTTTTGGTTATGGATTCATGGGTTGGGAGAGTGGGAAAAATGTGCATAAGCATGGCCCTTCAAGATTTCTACGAGGACCACCCTAACTTCACCACTAGACTCACTATCTCAGCGAGAGATTCAGGTGGAGATGTTGTCAAGGCTGCTTCAGCTGGTAATCTCTCTCTCTCTCTCTCTCTCTCTCTCTCTCTGGTCTATCATTTGATGTCCTCTGTTTTAACCACAACCACATCCTCTAATTTTGAGGTTGTAGTTTGGGCATGGTTTTACAATGTTTCCAAAGTTTCAACCAATGCCCCAACATCTCTAAGAAAAGAAATGCATATAATGAACGCATTGGAGTTTCCTACAGTAGTTTAACTTCATCCCAGCCGTCAGATGTCAATAGCACAGCTGTGCTTTTATCCGATGAAGGATAACACTCCCTGGTATCCATTGCGGACATGATGAGATGCTGCTCAAGTAGTGTAGGAAGCTTCAGTGGGTT